TTTTCAAGAAATCTTCAAAATTTGAGAAATTACCGTAATATTCGTCAGAAGTGTAGATGTCATTGATCAAGCAAGGCCAGGCTCGGATAAACCTCTTGGCAAGTTCAGCATGAACTGACGTGGCGTTCAGAAGACACAGGTGTAATATATTTTCTCCCACTGCTCCAAGCTTCTCTATTCGCCAACAGCATTTCCTGTACTTGCAAACAGCTGCGATTTAAAAAAATACTAATGAGTAAGTTTTTTTTAATTTTTACACAGAAAGAAATTCCTTATTGTCCCCCGCCCTTATTGGAATTCAAGAGAAAATCACGCTCCAATTTTACACACTGTAAGCAGATTCCGGTCGGGAATTATCACATTCCACTTCATCAAGTCCAACTTCAGGAGCTTTGACGATGTATTGCAGCTGTAATTGAGGAAATGAAAACAAGCATAATGTTTGAGTATATATATATCTATGGGTAAATGTATTTATTTTTAAATTGAAGAATAAATCCCTGACCTGTTTGTTGGGAGGCCTGTCGCAATTTCTGAGCATGACCAGCTCTTGGATTGGCACCATCCTGCCAGCACCTCCATTGTACAAATAAGGAGTGACTTCTCTTTGCATGATCTCATCCAGTTCCTGATAATTCTTCGTTTTGATGGCCTTTTTCATGCATTCCACCAAGATGCCACCTCCCTTCAAGTCCACTAAATTGTAAAGAGTGTAGCTGCTGGTGTCAGCTTGCTTTTTCACACCACTAGTCACATTGCTCTGGGTGTTTCCCATGCTGCTGACAGTGCTGGAAGAAGACTGGAGGAGCTGCTGCTGCTGCTGTTGGGGCTTTTTGAAGGAGTTTCTGAACTATATTGATCAAACAGTCTAGTTTGAGGGTGCGCTGTTTACTTCACCTTCCTGGCTCCTGCTGTGGAATGTGTGAGGGTTGAAGGAAGATGAGGATTTCTATGTAACCTTTCCTACCGAATGTTCTGGCAACACGTCAGCTGTTTTTTTTTTCTTCTTTATATGCTGTTACCAAGGCACTTTTATGCATGGTAGAATCTTGGTAAAAAAAAAAAAATATTGTTACAGGATTACTATGTACATCAAATCATTGCTTTGGAAAGATTTGTTTTTGAGGTTTCTGTTATATACCAATGCATTTTAGATTTTTCAGTATTATCTTTTTAGAACAGATCTTATGATAATGAATTACTGCTTATCCAGCAAACTTTTTTCTTAGGTCCCTGTCTTATAGCCGCAATGTCATCATGTACTTATTTGAATATCCTAATATATAACTTTTTTAAATTTCAATTTTCTCAGCAAACTGTTTTAAGGAGGCGTTTTGTTTGCAGAGTAGCGTTTTTTTTACACTCAAACTTGTTATAGAGAAGAATTGCAGCAAATTCATTCATTTGATGTTTGTTCATTGTGGTATTCTTGAACGTATTGTAGCAAATTATTATGCGGTAACAAATATTTTCAGAAAAATATGAGCATGCTTGTATTGTTTTTAAAAATTAGTTCTTCACATTCTTGCGCGATTCAACTGCAATGTTACTTGAATTCCTTCAGTTATAACATTTTTTTAATGCGGAGCTTTTCTACTGGCCTTCTAATAGCATTATTGTAGCAATCTTTATACTGTACAATGAAGAAAATTGTGGAGAAATCTGTATTTTTTCCACCAGTTTTTCGTTCCAACTAAAAAATCGACACAATAATTCAGTTTTCCAGCGAGAAAAAAAAACATTTTTCCACGCAGCAGAGGAAAAAATCCGTCAGAAATATAATTGTTCATTCCCGCAAGTATGTGGAAAATCACGAACACATAAAAAACAATTTCGACTCCAGTATTTAGTGAATTGTTTCGCTATGATATTCTAAATCGGTGTATTTAGCCCTTTGTTTATTAGGTTTCACGCGGCAGGGCCTAGAAAGTTTCCTTATATATAAAATAGCAGACCTAATGCCAAAATTCGACCTTTTTTAATTCTTTGAAAGCAGTTTTCAATCTAAGAAAACAATCCCATCATCAAGCAATTTGTTCAGATGGCAATAATGGGGGGTGATGCAATGACTAGATAACATTCACCAGCAATAATTCAAGAGCTACTGCTTATGAATTATTCCTCGACACACTGAGCTCCAGCAGCGCCCTCCAACGTGAGCACACCCTTGTTGAAGACTTGTTCATCGGGAGCGGTGTTCAGCTGATACAGGATTGCCTTTTCAGCCGTCATCGGATGCCAACGTCCACTACCATAGATGTCGCACGTTTTATTGGCATCTCTGCTGCTGAGCAACGAGGCCGGTGGATCATAATAGTGGCACTTGTTCATCAGCCCAGTGTTCCTCGTCCTTGATGGGATGAACTCATAGGCATGCACTTTTTTGCACATGTGTAGAAGAATCATGAGCCCTTTTGAGAGAAATTTTGCAGAAGTTTTGAAAAAAACGTAACAAGATTTTTCAGGTTTGTCCTAAATTCATATGAACTATATGCAAATATGGTGATTCATAATGAGCTGCTCATTTTTGACATGAATTTTTTCGCTATGATAAACTTTCCATGGATTTTTTTCTGAAATAAGCCATGAACGACTTTGAAATAGAGATAAAAAAAAGTTTGCCATAACTCTTGTAATGATGTGATTCTTTAGTTTTCCGTACAATTACAATAAAATCCCTTCGTTGCAAACTTTTATAGACGTAAAAATCCTGATTTAAAAAAAACTGTTGCATTGTAACAGTATAAAATACAGTAAAAAGATATGACCAGTTTTTTCTCGAACTAAGGGAATTATTCCTTCAAACTTGAGTTGTTCAGTAAATATCGGACATTTTAATCATATAAAATAGTTTCCCAGCGGAATAATTTTTTTTTTCGCAAAACAGCAGAGTATACAAAGGTAACAGAAGGTTTCGCCAGTAAAAATATTTTTTATTCCCTTGAATATTAGAAAAAAATGCAAAAATCACAATAGGTAACTTTCTGTTCTAGATAAAAGGAGTAAGATATTATTATTAAGATATTTATTTGTCATTGCGTAACATTTGGAAGGGGACCTAGAAAAATCGCCTCATTGGCAAAACTTTTTAGCAGTATTTCTTGGAATGTTCTTTGGCCTCCTGGATGTATTGGAATTTTTCATTCATTTCTAAATTTCTATAAAAAAGATGTACAATACAAATTTCACAATATTCCATTCAAAATAAAAGAAAACGTTGAATCCATAAATGTATCTGTCAATTATTGCTCTTGGAATACATATTTGTAAAGCATCGTTAATTCGACAAACATTCATTTTCTGCTTGGGGATTTAATTTCGCTTGAAAATAAATCTAGTTTCATTTCAATTGTTCTCATTGTGAAAAAGTAAAAGGAATAAGCATTTGAATTTTGAAAAAAGTTTCTTGGGAATACTGTATGGGGATTAAGCTTTCTTGTTTATATTTCATATTTTTTCTTGGCCCTCGTATAAATTTGGCATTAAATTTTCCAGAACAAAGCACAGTTACACAGATTTGTCCAGTAAACATAGATTGTGTTCTCAGGAATATTTGGAAAGATCGAACGAAAAATTCACAAGAAGTAATTAAATACTGTACTCACCAATAAATCCAGACGAAGGAGGTCTTTCTTGGGCCAATTGCCTTCCATAGGCCTTCTGCAGAAACTCCCATAGGAGATAAATAAACTCAATATCTACCAGGTAAAAGTTTGGCACACTCGGGTATTGCTGGAGTAGCGCAAAATATGTTCTGATTCCGTCAGGACTCTCGTCCTCGTCCATTTTAATCTTCCTCACTAGTCCAGTTTCGGGTTCAAGTTCAAGGCAGTCTGAGAATTTGACAATCCCGCAACAGCAATGATGCCAAAAAAGAATGGTCGAATTTGCCTCGATGAAAGTGTGAAGAAGATCGTGTTTCCTTTTACCCCACCGGAGCGGAAGTTGTCCATTGACAACCCGGACGTTACCCGGGTTGAAACCCACGTGAGCTTCGTAGGATTCCACAGTGGCATCGTTGAACCTCATTACCAATTCATGGGAGTCTGTGAAATAATACCGATAGAGCGATGCATTATTTTTGAAAGAAATTTTTTTTTTCTTTTCCAAAAATGATTTTACCGATTTCTTTGCCGAGGTTGGAATGTAGCATTCCTCCAGAACTTGACACAGCTGCGCAAGACTCAAACACTTTCCCGTCGAACGGCACATTTTTTGGCACTCTTCTCTTCCACAATTCCCACGTCATCAAAAATGCGGAAGAAGCAGAAACGAATTTTGGTTTCATCCTCTTAATGTGACACATGAGACTTTTCCTCGATTGGATCGGATGGTACAGAACATTGTCAAAGAACTCTTGCCGTGCCTCTAAATTCAATACCGAAAAAAATACAATATAAATTTTTAAAATCGGTGGAAAAATTATCAACCCGAGTACGAACCAGAAACAGATGCAAAACCGTCGACACTTTCAACTGCGATTTCGTGCATTTTTATTGCAGTTCGGGACGATGACCCAGCAGTGATTTCACTCCACATATATTTTTTGAGTAGGAACAAAATGAGCAGAATTGGCAATGAGCTGACAAGGCAAGATTTCCGGACCAAAGCCATATTTTTCTTTCGACTATTCTGAGGATTTAAGAAAAGCGAAGTAAAACTTTCGACCTGTAAGAATGACGTTATCAGCAACAGCAGGTTAAAATATTCACATCCTTGGGAGTCTGGAAAGCTCTTTTCCCTTGGCTTAAAATCTGACTAACCCTGATGGTTCAAGGGCGAAGAAATCAACTTTATTCGAAGAAAACAAAAGAGGCAAAAATGAGGCTTGTTTTCAAAACTGCTGAATAATTTTCAAAAATGATGACGTAAGTTTACGGCAAGAAAATTATCAGTCAAGTATTGATGAGCCCAACGTTTTCGGAAAATTATCGCCGCACTTTCACTGATAAGATTGCGAATTATTAACCAAATAAATCTGCAATTTAATTACCACACGGGGACCAGTTCGTAGTTCGAAATGAAGCTGATCATAGTCGGTTTATTGGCCACATTGGCCTTCATTTTCAGCCCTCAGCCATGTTTCTCGTACAACGATGAACCTCTGCTCTATGGTCAGTTTCCGGAAGACTTTGTGTGGGCTTTGGCGACTGCGTCTTATCAAATCGAAGGAGCATGGAATGAAGATGGTATGCATGAAAATTTGAGAAAAAAAGATTTTATTCGAATCAACATTTTACAGGAAAGGGAGAAAGTATCTGGGACAGGTTCAGTCATGAAGGGAACCACATAGACGACGGCTCAAATGGAGATGTGGCCTGTGATAGTTACCACAGGTATCAAGAAGACATTGAATTGCTCAGCGAAGTTGGGGTAAGTTTTGGTTTTTGTTTCTATACCGAGAAAATTCCCGAAGAAAGACCATAAGAATTGCAATTACAATACATTAAAAAAATTTTATTACTGTACATATATAGGTTAGTCATTACAGATTTTCTGTGGCTTGGACCCGAATTCTGCCTCAAGGAACAGGCGAGGTGAACCAAGCAGGAATAGATTATTACAACAACCTCATTGATGCTCTTCTCGCTGCTGGGATTCAACCAATGGTATGCCCTAAATTTTCATATCATGATCATCAATCAAAAAAACCTATTTTATTGACATGGATCAGGTCACCTTGTACCACTGGGATCTACCCCAAGCTCTTCAAGACAGAGGCGGTTGGCTGTCCAATGAATCCCCTGATTGGTTTGATGAATATGCTGCAATTCTCTTCAGAGAATTTGGCGACAGGGTAAGAAAAGCATATCTTGTTTTTATTTACATGCTTCGAGCATGCTGAGAAAATATTAAATTTCTTGGGCTATCAAGATGTTTCATACAAATTTTTGAAATTTGGGCGTGCGTTGCACTCAAAATTACGAAGCAAAACAATTAAAACAAGTAAATTTCAAAACTACGACGGATCATATTTGAATGCACGCACATGTAAATGTTGAATGAAATGACTTTGAGCTCATGTATGCTTCATGCATCGCAGTCATAGATATTTCTGCTGCGATTTAAAAACATTTCATGACAATTTTCCGAGTCAAGTTTTCGTTTGATTTTAGCAGATTGGACTATATGTTATCTATGAATTTGAAAAAATTAAGAATATAGGAAGCTATTGCATTCATATTTTAGTTTAAGAGCCAACATTGATATTTCAGATCTAGCTATTCTAGATTTTTCAATATGATTTTTAGTTTCGGAAAAACTGGGTTGCGTGTCTTATATATTCGGGAATAATAAGTTTTTCCCTAAATTTTCTCCAAAGAATCGATTTTTTTTTTTGCAATCTACTCAAAGTCACGCGCAGTTATACTCGAGTAAATAAGGTTTAATAACGTAATTTTCAAACAAACTACTGTATATACAGCTTGAGCTCACGTGGGAATCGAAACAGCCGCTCAGACTTAATTTTTGCAAACAAAAAAGAGAAGATAAAAGCGAGAGTTAGATAATGTGAGAAAAATGTGTGCAATCAAACAGGTGAACTTGTGGATCACTTTCAATGAGCCGTGGGTTTTCTGTGTGCTGGGATACGGAACTGGCGAACATGCCCCGGGGGAGAAAGATTTGGCGTGGAACCCATACACTTGCACCCATAATGTTCTCAAGTCTCATGCCAGGGCTTATCATAGATACCACGATGAGTTTGCTGCTCAAAACCCGACAGGTGATTTATTTTTCGATATCCTTACATGATACGGCACATTGAATAAAAGGGTACAGTATAGATTTCACAAACTTTTTATTTGTGCAGCATACGTGGAGTATTATTCTTTTTAATCCCATGGACTGGGTGAAAATAATGTTCTATGATTATTTAATCATTTATTAATCTTTCGAACCATCAAAAAGCTTGTTTCTTTAAGCTTTTAATTTGAAATAGTGATGACGGAACATTGAAAAGTACGAATGTTGCCACAGCAGGTGACCTAATGCAAATTGAATCAACTTCTCGCGTATGGTTAGGATATTTTTTTACAATACAGTATTATTATCTCGAGGAATATGGAATTGCAGCTCCAAAGATGACATACTGTATTCCCAATGAAAAAGTACAGTAATTTTATCCAATAATGTCGAAAAATACCATGACCTGAAAACTTGATCACAAGTCGAATGCTAATCAATTTGAATAAAGCCGCCACGAAAAGCCAATCATGACGTCACCTCGAGATGTGCATTTTATCAATTTTGCGTTCCAGGAATCCCTGCAAAGATGCATTCGAAAAGGTGCAAAAAAACAAAAAAAAGGAATAAGCATATAAATTTTCCTCCCCACATTTCCGACAATTTAAAATTACTGTAACGGAATCCATGAGGGATGGTAAAAAAAAACATCAATGCTGTTTTACGCTTCGTCATACGGTATTAATAGAATACGGCATGGACCACGGTTTGGGCAGTGACATCTAGATTTCAAAAAGATAGCTCCTTAGCGCATAGTCGTTTGCTTCTGAACAACGTGCCGCTCTTTTCCATGCAGCGCAAATCGGAATCACCTTGAACGTTGGAATGGCCCTGGCTGCGAATGATGCCCCAGAAACAATTGCAGCCTCCGAAAGAGACATGAACTTCAACATGGGCTGGTATGCCCACCCGTTGTTCAAGGGAAATTACCCCCAAGTCATGATTGACAAGGTATCGTATGTCACTTTCGAACTACAAGACTTGAAATCGGGAAATATATACATACAGATGAGCTGATAGCGTCCCAGGGGGAAAGAAAATTAGCTCTGATTATCTGAATAGAACGCTTATCGTGAAAGCTTCATCATTTTTATAAGTTCAATAATTTAAATGAAAGGTATTCGCTTTTCTCCTCAAAATCAACCTCCAGAAAAATCAGAACTGAAAAAAATGAAAATCAGTTTTTAAATGATTTCGTGTGACAGGTCGGAGAGAAAAGCGAGGCACAGGGTTTTCCGGTGTCCCGTCTTCCTGCTTTCACTGCCGAAGAAATCGAGTATATCAAGGGAACTTCGGATTTCCTCGGTATCAATCATTACACTTCGGGAATCGTCTATGAAAACATCAACAGCATCAATGACGTCAGCTTTTTCGCTGACAGTGACGTTGCTGGCTTCACAGATCCGACCTGGTACTCGTGAGTCAATGGAATAATTATATACTGTATACTGTATTCATATATTTTTGCATATAGACTCATATTCAGTCGGATATTCCCACAGATCCGGGTCCAGTTGGCTGAAAGTGGTTCCTTTTGGCTTGAGGGTCCTCATGAATTACGTGAAGAACGAATATGACAACGTTCCTGTTTATATCACCGAGAGCGGCTTCTCTGACAAGGCTGGCAACACTGACGACTTGGGGAGAATTTACTACTACAAGCACTACATCAACAACTTGCTCAAAGGTAACTGCTCTTTGATTTGAGGAATTTAAACTTTTTAGATGACAAGCAAAGCAATTTTTTCAATCAGAAAAGCATAAAAAAGATGCGAAACTTTTTGTAAAGCTTCAGGTTTGATCAAGATTGAGTGACTGAAGCATTTAAAAATTTATCCCTTTTAAGGCATTGAACGTTGTTCAAAGTTGCGATGAATAATGTTGAAGTTTGATGTAATTTCTAAAAACAACTTTTTACTTGAAGAAATTGAGCACCTTTTTAGTTTTAGAAACGTAATAATTGAAAAGCTGAATTCAGAAAAAATTAGCAAATTTCTGAAAATCTTAGTAAAGTATCGAGTGATTTATAATAAAATGTGGAGTGATCGTACAAATCTATAAAAATGTTAACGTCACTCGACATTCAATTAAGAAAATATGATTTCAAAAGCCTGCTCGATAGGATGAAGCCTTATTTAATCCAGTTACGTGTTTTTTTGCTTACATAAACTCAAAAACGTTGCACGCGAATGAGTCTTCAATTGTATGAACGGGTTTTTCAATTATACTCCAAGAACATTTTTTATTTCAAGTCTGAAAAACAAAAAATGACGATCATTTTTTTAAAGTGATTTACACAACTTGAACATTGCCCGAAGTATTCAATTCCAATAAATTCGAAATTTTAACTGATCAGTATATTTCAAATAAACTTCATATGAACCTTTTTCCGCTTTCAAAAATAACGTTTATATCGCAGTAAATTTTTTTGCCTGGTTTCTTACAATAAATGCTTCGAACAATTTAAGCAATGTAAGGGCGTCAACTTTATTTCAATGGCTCAAAGCATTGTTCAATTTAAATTCAGGTGTGCGATTAATCGATCTTAATTAAAAATTTGCCCGCATGCTGCAGAATATCCTGAAATGTAGATCAATACTGCACAACTTTCCAATCAATAGTAACACCTTTCACATTTTATTACGAAGAATGCGTATATTAAAATTCGAGAATTCCTTCATGTTATGTCATAAATGTATCCAGTGAAATCGGGCTTTTGCTTTCAGCTGTGAATCTTGATGGTTGCAATGTCAAGGGATATACGGCTTGGTCACTCATGGACAATTTCGAATGGGCTCGAGGCTATTCGTGAGTAAAAGAAATATTATTCATTTTCCGGATTATATCGATGAAAAAAAATCAATATATGAAATTAAATTAAATTGCAGGGAATATTTCGGGGTTCACGCGGTGGATTTCAACGACCCCAACAGACCCAGAACCAGCAAAGCCTCGGCCAAATACTACAAGAGTCTAATCTCAAACAACGGATTCGTCGAAAATCCGTCGTGTCCTTACTTTGACTAAAATATGACCGAAAGAAATATTTTTTTTGAAAGCAAATGCACCGTTGCTGGTTTCAGCGAGAAAAAGATGCTTCTTATTGGACTTGACTTGACTCATTCACGGGAGGAAATGGACAGAAGTCGTTCGAGATTTCTGTTCAGCTCTTCGTCCATCCATTCCCATGGGATGTGACAATTATATCTATCTTCTTTTTTCGCGTTTAAATTTGAGATTATGAAAGATACTGCGCAATTCCCACGATCTTGGGAAAAGAAAATATTACCGATCGCAGGAGTTAAAAATAAGGATGGAGAAAAAAAATAATACTGCGTGAATGTTACCCGACTCTTCTGGCCTCAGAAATCAGCCACCTTTCTCATGTTCAGTGTTTTTATATTCTAACGCAAGCAGTGTTTAAAGAAATTAAAAAAAATACAACATTGAATCCGCTTTGATGAGAAGGATTTACTAATTTTTTTTTACAGGTTTTCTGAATTTTTTGTGCAATTCGAGAGGCTCGAACTTGTAGAATAGAAATTAAAATCAATGAGAAAAATCAGGTTGAGAACTTTTTGCAATTCGTGGAAGACGAAGGCGAATTGGATTCCAGCTTTATTGGCATTTTCATTTTGGCTTTACTTGGTGGTCTTTTTCATAACTAACCCGTTCAAGGATGACTGTACTAAGAATATAACTTACAGGGATGCTGATGAAGATACTAGCAAAATGTATGGTGAGTTTTTGTTTCTTCAAAGAAATAAAAATTTAATTTTAAAAGTATCGAAATTCCAAAGGACTCTCCGTTCCTGTGTCTAATTCATATACTAAAGCGATATTGGATCACTGATTCACAATTATTGTCAGACTTATCGTACGAGTGGCATAGTCGAAATTTTTGCGGAGAAGTGTAATTATTTGTATAGTATAATTATTTCCTGACTGATGCTGCTCAAATTCTAATCATCTATTCATCCGGGTTAAAGTTATAACGAGTAAAACATTTTGAAATTTCACTTCACCATATTTTCGAGAGAAGAACGGTCAAAATTGTATAAACGATGACCTTTTGAGAGCAGTTGACGGACAGGGAAAATTAGAAATGATTAAAAAATCTGCTTTTAATTACAATACTCCAGTTATGAACAACATGTCTTGTAGAGACTAGAGAATCATATTCAAAATTTCACAAATTTTTATACATAGGGCGGGGAAGCTTAATGTTGAAATTCGTTGTGAATTTTTTGCGATAAAAATCTTCTATAGAAAAAAGTTTTTCCAAGCTTGGGCTGAAACTGAAGGAAATCTTTCGAAAATTGACAGAAATGCGCTGGAAGTAATTATCGCCGTATATTTTTGTCGGTTTCGACTTGGAAACAAGGAACAAAAATTTCAAACATAGATCTCGTGGAAGAAGCATTTTTCAGACTCTTTCCGAATTTTATGCACCAAAACATTCAAAGCGCTTCCGCCGCAAAATATATTCACTAGAAATTTAAAATGATTGTTTGCCGTTTCTGTTATCAGGGGAAATGGGAAAACCTGTAGAGTTGCCTCCGGAAGAATCTGAAAACAAACAAATTCAAAAATTCATTGCTGACGGATGGAATCAACACGGTTTCAACTTGTATGTCTCTGACTTGATCTCAGTGAAGCGCAGTTTGCCGGATGTTAGAAAAGACAAGCAAGTATATATGCATTCCTTTGTCATTTTCTTTCTTGAATCTATCTTGAAATTTTTGTCTATACTGTATCATCATTTATGTCATAATGTTTCTATCGATGACATAGCTCAGCGAAGTTCCGGGATTCAGCGGAGCTGAAAACGGCGTTCGAACAAAATTTTTAGCCTGTAACAGATGTCTTACATTTTCTGATTTTACTGATTTTCAATAACATTCACAGAAATATTCCTATAGATGCTTATTGAGATGTCATTGATGTAAGGAAGGATAAAATGTATTTGCTGTATTTCGCCAATGTCCCAAAAATAGAATTGCAGTATTTTAAAAAGCTGAACAGCCCTCGAGGAATACAATTCCTTTTAGCCCTGATGAATTATTCCTAAAAACATATTCTTGGTAATCATGAAATATTTGGCGTAAATTATTCAGTTGATGTCGGACCCTTCAATAATAAATGTCCGGGAATTAATAATTTGCCATGGTTAAATAACGGTGTGTGTTCTTGGGAACTGTTGGCATAAAACGTGAGAATTTCATCAGAAAGTTGACGAAACAAACGCGTAAGTCAGAGGAAATAATTCAAAAATTTTCTTGGCGCATTTTATAATTTTCATAAATACATACTCAATAACTCATTGGACGAATAATTGAAAGCTTTTAATTGTTAAACTAAATATTGAGACAATCAAGGGCAAGTTCGATCGAAATTTGGATGCTCAAATAAAGTTGAAAAAACTTGTTGAGTGAGCCTTTTGATAAGCTGCTGAAATTCATGCCCAAAGCTTGCTATATTAATGTTTTGTTTTTCTGAATCCCTATATATAATCAAATGTTTTCTTTTCATTCAGGTGCAAGTTGGCAAATTTGTATCCGAAAAACCTGCCTGATGCCTCTGTGATCATGTGCTTCCAAAACGAAGCCTGGTCCACTCTCATCCGTTCAATCCTTTCGGTGCTGAATCGCAGTCCAACGCATTTACTGCGAGAATTGATTTTGATTGACGATTCCTCGTCATTGGATTACTTGAAACAACCTTTGGATGATTACGTCTCTGAACTGAAGCCTCGGGGCATCGTCAAAATTTTGCGGTTGGAAACCAGAGAAGGTTTGATTAGGTGTCGTCTAACCGGAGCCAAGGTTGCCAAAGGTGCTGTGTTGGTTTTTCTGGATTCGCACATCGAAGCCACAAATGGTGGGACTTTATGAGTTGTTCTCCCAATTTTTTCTTCATCAAATTCGAAATTAAGCCCTTTATTGTTTTTAAAAATAATATAGACAGTACAATACTTGATCTAGCCCCAGGAACAGTATTAAAAAAATAAATGCTTGTTTTGATGTATGTGCATTGGTTTCAAAATAAGCCGTTACCTCTCCATGAGTTGATGTTTTGTTATAAAAACCATTATTTCTCTATTTGGAGACAAAAACAGATCCCAACAGAAATTTTTAATCGCTGATATAAATTTTCTCATGTACTGAAATAATTTTGTAAGCGGTTTGTCGGAAAAATTCAAAAGTAGATTGCCTCGATTTAAAAAACATTGAAAGAACATTCTTTTTGCGAATTTTCTTGTTTGTTCAATATATCTAAAAAAAATCGCCATATTTTCATTTAAGATCGGCTGTTTCATGCATAACAATTACCGGATATTGTATAAGATCTGGTATAGTCTCTGTCTCAAAATGTGTCTGTGTCAAATTGCCACTGTCTTGAAAATTTTCTGTCTCAAATATTGCTTATTGGCTCAAATTGAACCGGTCTCAAATCGGCCTTGTCTCAAATTGTCTGTCTCACATTGTTCTAGATCCGTTTTGATAGTATTTTGTATGCAGTATATTTTTTCGCGTTTTTAAAATCAAACTTGGTCAACAAGGCCAATTTTCTGGTCACAGGTTTTCAGTTTGGGTGATTTTTTTTGGATTTTAATTAGACGGCAATAAGTTACGCACGTTTCCATTTTTTTCATTCAATGTACAGATACATTTTGATCATTGGTAGACATTATCGTAATGATTCATCAATGCAGGTCCGATTTTTACATTAACGTCACAAATGAAGCCTGAACGGTTTTAAAAGACTAATTTGCGTATACAATATAAGAAGATATAGGGAGCATTATAGATCATAAAATCTATTTTTTAAAGAAAAAAATGCATTATGACGCGTAAAAGAACTAATATACTGTATATTATTTATTGTTTGAAGGATGGTTGGAACCTTTGCTGAACCGAATCCACCAGAATTGGTCAAACGTGGCTGTGCCAATTATTGATAGTATTGCTTCTGCAACTTTCAAGTTTCAAGGGGACAAAGAAGATCCCGACCACACTGGAACCTTCAACTGGAGCCTTTTTGTGAGCAATTTTTTTTTTAACTACAGTATTTTACGAAGAGCCTTTTTTATCCGTCAGTAGGTGTAATTGTAATGCACGCAACATTTATTTTCACTTCAGAAACATTTCAAGTCGGGAGAAATGGGCTTCAATTTTGATAAATAGAAAAGATGCAATCTTCGGAATAGGTTCAAGAAGATAAAAATGAGGCGCATATACTCGTAGATAGGACAAAAGTTTCGGTGTACGTTCCTTTGACGAATGCATAAAAGCGACATCTTCGAGAGAAAAAGTGAACTATTTTCATCGCACTAACAATTAAATTCGCTCCAATTGCTGGTCTGCTGTTGATTCAAGGAAAAATTCCACATAAAGAAGCTTACTTTTGCTTCAGGTCAATGGATGGTAAAAGGAATATCAACGGGAAGTAGTTATCTTCTCGCATAGATGTCGCGAGTGCAGGAATTCTCGGAGGTCCTCGAATAAAGAACTCCTCGAAATAAAACAAAATAGAGCTGGTATATATAGAACTCAAAACTTCCAAGCTGAACTTTTAAAATTTCAATTGTGATGACGTACAATGAAAATAATCTTTGTGAGATTGTGACTTGTTCTGCAATCCTGGTCACTCGAAATTTTGTCAATATATTGTTATCGAGTATACTTCATTGTCTCAAATACTTCGTATGACTTCAAATTTAATCAGTTTTTCACCTCACAGTAGATTTCGGATTCAAACAAACTATAGTGATACAGATTTCACACATTCTTAAAAACTTTCAGTTCCGCTGGTTTCGGATTCCACCCGAAGAGAAAAAGCGAATGATCGATAGCATTGATCCTTTGCCTACACCAGCGATGGCTGGGGGTCTTTTCGCCATCAGCAAAACATTTTTCAAGCATCTCGGAGGATACGACAAAAACCTACTGTTTTGGGGCGGTGAAAACATGGAACTTTCTTTCAAGGTAACCATTTCTGTCATTTTCCCAAGAATCATCTTGAACAATTGACCCAGAAATGATAACATAAAGCCATAGTCCGATTATACGTAAGATTCAAGTTCAGCTGGAGAGAAACTGCGGATAAATACTACCCGAGAAGGTTATTAGACAGGTGTGTGATTGACAGATGTTCTGTCATATGGCCAGGAAAGGGTGTCTATGGTCAAATGACCGCCAAGCCGAACTTCGTCTGAGCGCCGCCCAAATTAACATGACAAGTTCCCATTGATAGTCCAAAAAAAAAAAATCAAGGTACAGTATATCATAATTTAAATCAGAAAAAGCCGAACAATTTTCCAGTCACTTTTCTCAATTATGTAAATATTTGGAATCGTTGCAAAGACTAAATTTCGCATACTTTCAGAACTCTCCTATATTAAAGGTTTCTGCAAAAACGTTCTTCGTGGCAACGAATTGCTCATTTAAAAAAAAATCTGGAAAAATGTGTTGTAGCATCATTTTTAAATCAGAAAAAGCAGAAACAATTTTCTGCGATTTTCCTCGATTAATTAAACATTTGGAATCATTGTAAAGACAATGGAATTCCAAATAGTTTCGTGAACTCCTAATAATATACGTACTGTAAACTAATTTTGTGCAAAAGCTCTGTTTATGGCAACGAATTGCTCATAAAAAAAAATCAGGAAATTTTTGATAGCTCAAACACTGCAAGGATGAAGTTTATACAGAGCGCAAAAAGAAAGTATTGAGAAATTACAGAGTGGGTTCGTCAATCTTTTCAGCGGCTGTCAGTTGGGTTGCGCTCAGTGGGTTGACGATCATTTGGGTGTCGCTTGGTTTTGGGCGGTCACGCGCTGTATATTATGAGACAGTTCTGTGAAGGTTATCAAAATAAATGAATATATTTGAATGATGAAACAAACAAAAAAAGGTTTTTTGACACGTAGACTTGGATGTGTGGGGGTTCTTTGGACATCATTCCCTGTTCACACGTTGGCCACGTGTTCAGATCAGCTTCTCCGATCAAGTGGCCGAAAAATGCCTCAGGCAGGAGCCCGGTTTGGAAAAATGTGATCCGAGTGGCAAAAGTTTGGCTCGACGAATACCAAGACATGCTCTTTTCGGAAATTGGCAAAGATAAGAAGGTTTGTATACAGACGGCATGGCATTTACATAAAAGAATTTATTTTTAATGCGAAGACCCTCCTATACGAACTCGAACCGCAGAGAAATTTCTTGAACCCTGGACGAGGGACATACAATACTTTTACAGTATTCATTCAAGTATCTCGTCATTCGAAGACCTTCTCGAGTCCCGAAAATAAAGTAACACATTTAATAAAATATTCCATTCTTAATTCCCAGATTTTATAAATAAAAGTTATTAAAACTTGATTTGCGAACCACTCAAGCGCGTGAAAGACAATTCTCTGCAGGAAATGTACCAGGGACTATAATAATTTTCATTAGTTGTCTCTAAGCTTTTCAAATAAATGAATAAATAAACTATGAAAATGAAAAGAAAAATCTTCTTCGTAGTTCTTTTTCGTGGATTTGAGTTCTTCAAGTGGTAATTATAGTGCTTGCCATTGGACATCATACTGATGAAAATGCGAAGCAAAGCAAATACGTAAAGAAATTGAATGAGAATCATAAGGTAATTGTAAAATAGTGAAGCACATCTGACCATTGGAAGAAATGCCGGTACAATTTTGAAAGACAAAAGCATCACGCTCATCTGTTTTTGATGGAATTCAATTTTTTGAGCAAAATAGTTCTTAGTCGGAGAAAAAAAATTGTCAGTCACTCATCCTGCAAATTCGGGTTTGATTCGCAAAACTTCCAAGAAGAGCCGTTTTGTTTATAAAAATATATACATATGTAGGTATTACATATGTAGGAAAATAAACGAAGTTCGCACAGTTTTCTCTCTTTTTTTCATAAGACTCGTTGAGAACTTTGAATAGTTCATATACTCGACTAATTTTTCTCACCCGAAGTTTAAAATTGTTCCTAATATTTATTTCCTATGGGCAAAAGTTGAAAAATAATTTTTTTTTTTATTTTGACAGACTTGGAATGTCGGCAGCATAAGGAAAGAAGTAGCAACACGGAAACGGCTGAAATGCAAATCGTTCAGATGGTATCTCGAAAATGTGCATCCGCAAATGTTTGCTCCTAGAAACCCGTTGGCAAGAGGAGAAATTCGCAATATTGGCAGCTACTGGGGGACAAAATCGCTTCCCCTTTGCCTCGACCACGATGGCGAACACGATTTGCACAAATCTGTTGGAATATACGCATGTCACATGTCTGGTATCATATCGTTTATATATCATTGATTTAAAATATATAAAAAAACTGGCTTAGTTTTTTGTAAAAAAAAAAATAGAAAGAGAAACTTTCCTTGGAATCTGCAGCAAATTCTGTACATATTTTGCAGCAGAAAGCATTTTTCAGCTGATTGAAAGTCAACTTCAAAATTTATTAAGCCATACAGGCTTTTGATTCAACACTGACTGAAATCATATTTTGAAGGAGGAAATCAAAATTGGTATTTCATGAGGACAGGAGAAATCAGGAAGATTTCAGGCTGCCTTCAAGCTCCTGATTCAAAAAATGAGCCTGTGGTTTTGAAGCCTTGCGATCCCGACAAAAAATTATTAAATCAGCAATGGTTATTTGAAGAAAAAGTAAGCAACCTTTTTCTCATTTCAAATTTTCACAAGAGATGATAATACTTCTCCCATCATCAGACAAATCAAATTCGCTTGAAACGGGATCCAAAAATGTGCCTGGGAGTTGTTCCACTCAATACAACTTTGACCACGGTTGACTGTGTTACCAGGGACAAATGGCAACACTGGCGGGTAGAAAACTTCAACAAATCCTCTCTTCCCGGTGCTTTGCAAGATGATATCTCTTGAGTTGGAAACTTTTGTGGTACCGTATATTACAAATAAAAATTGTCCGCTCATTTATAGAGAATGCAGTCTAAATGAAAAGGAAGAGAGATGGAAGAAAATAATTTTGAACCGAAACAAGCAATTTCAATGTCCCCGACTCCATGATTTTCTTTGCTGTTGCATAGATGTCACCCGAATATTGCAAGGTGTTCTTTCTGCTGAAGTATTAGTGGGTTTTTGCTCATATAAAGTAGGTTTATCCTAGGTAAATTCTGCAAAATTTTTTTGAGCTGCTACTTACACTTTTGAGTCTGAACTGACTAAAAATGACATAAAATTATTGTGCCATGTGTGATGCATGTTTTGTTTTCTTTTGTGCTCTGAACTTTCTCAATTGTGTCGTGTCTTCCACTTTTTTATATTGGCTGTGAACTGGTATAAAAACTGTCATGAATGAGAATAAAGCATCTTAGCTTTGAGCGCTTCTTTGCATAATTCCCTAAAAATTCATCATAATGTTAAATATTCATCCATAAGAATTTGTATCTGTACTGAAGGACTCAAGTCTTTGCATACCACAAGGAATTCTTCCAGAGCTGATGCTTGTCATTTCAAAAAATTATTCACAGGCAAGTTTTAGTAAGATTCTAGTTTTGTTTATTCACTTAGGTAACAATAGATCAGTTAAATTATTTTTTAGTTTGCCTAGTTTTCCGTTTATCCTCCAAAGAAGAAAGGAAAAATACAATATACAGTATACAAGAAAGCAATCATGTGGAAATAAAACTATGTTGTTCATGGAGAACCCAGGTCATGATAATTTCCTCAGCATTGAAAAAGGCTTGGGTGAGCTTCGCCAAACTCAATTTTGGC